TTTACAGCCAATTCATTTTCTTTAGCTATATGATAGCATTTAAAAACCCTTTTTTGTTTACAAATGAGGATAGTAACAAAGAAGATGAACTGATATGAGCATACTGGTTAATACCAATCAGATACATATTTAACTTCTCCTCTGATGATATCTGTCTTTGTGAACAAAAACTGAATTGGCAGAAGTTGGAATGAATGGAGTGGTCATTGGATCGGGTTCCAGTGGCTGAATGGTCTACAAGCTAGCTCGCCTTGTAACCAGAAGGTCCTGGTTTTGAACCCTGGTGATGGATGCGTACTGATGAAGAGTCATTAACTAGGCTGATGAAACAGCTGACTGTCCAGTATTCACAGCTAGTTTTCCAATGATTCTCTAACTGACGTCAGCTCATGATGAAATCATTCAACCAATCAAAAAACAAATAAACAGTTGTATGTGAATGCGATTATACAACCTAAAAAAGAGATGAATTCATCCGCAAAGAAGCTTTTCATTAAAAAGTGAATAGTTGAAAGTGTCTTTATCCAATTTCTCTGATGAAACTAGTTTATGAAACTTTTAGAATAAACTGCTTCTTCATAAGGGTAGTTGATATATATGCTGTAAGCAAACTGCATTCATTTTATCCAGTATAAACCTTTTGTCTTTTTGAAATGTTTCAATGTAATCTGAATACGTTTGTATAGTTTGTATTTTCTTTTTTATGTTGTTGTTGTTGCTCATATATGGTATGCAGACACTATGATCTGACTAAAGGTCAATTGTAAGAAATTCACTCTTCAGATGATGTGTAAAAATGAATAACCAAAAAGAGAGACAGAGAGAGAGAGATCAAAGACACGTATCAGCGGAATCTTGTACAAAGTACTGCTCATAAGCATCAATATTGCTTAGACGAAAAGAATAAAAGGACACATTAAAGGTTGAAGTAGATGATAAGACAAAGTGTGGTACTCCATTCATCATATACTGGTAAAATAACAAAATGTAAATAGAAGACAATAAACTTCTTTAGTTATTAGTTAATTAAAGATGAAGAAAGAAATGCAAAAACTGCTAAATTTTTTTTAAAGTAAACAGAATTAGAACACTTTCTTACTGTATACTATCAGAGTATTAGTCAACGTGAGATAATCATAGAAAGATGAATGAATGAATGACATTTAGTCGCCTACGACAACTAGTTATGTTTTTGTAATTAGTTTAAACTTAAATAGTTCCAAAATGCATTTCCTATAGGCTACTATAGACTTTCATCAACAGCAGCTTCACTAGCTCGATAATGAAGATTAGATAGCTGGTCAGAAAGAATAAGCGATGAGGACTTCTGGTAATTAACCAACAAGAATTTGTCTCTGACAATTACGCACAAAGAGAGTATGATGGATTGGACGTACACTTAGAAGACCACTGAGTGAAATCACATGACAGGCAAATCTCGAGTGTTTTGATTTGACACTAGTAACTAGTGAGATGTGTCTAGTCCTCTCATTGGTCCAGACTGAATTCCATCAGTCAGATTTGAAATGTGGCCACCATTCTAGATAGCTCGCCATCACAGTGCACATTGATTTGATGATATTAAATGGTTGGAAGTAATCGGCAGGAAGCCTTGACCTAGGTTTCGTGCTAGTGGCACTCATCAGCACTAGTTACTAGTGTCCAATCAAAATATCCACTACAACCCTACAGGAGATCAGTCGCGAGCCCGAATAGCTTAGTGGTAACGTCTCTGACTGTAGTACTCACTGGGTGACTAGGGTTTGAATCTCAGAAGGGACATGAGTTCCTTCAAGGTTGCAGATACGCCTTGCTGACCTGTACGTGCCAACTAGCACGAAACCTAGGTCAGACCGGGCTTCCTGCTGATTGCCTAAAACTATCTAATATCATCAAATCCTCGAGTGGAAGTCAAATGGGAAATGACGAGTTGGGCGCTCAGGGTGACATAGTGGAAATCATTGGATGAGGAGATCAATGCTTATGGATAATCGTGAAGTCAACTAAAAAATCAACTTCAGTGAATGGAGCGAAATGGAAATGTGCTACTGAGGCTATGTTCTAATCCGAACTTAAGGGAATAATAATAATTTCGAATGAATTGAAATGGTTGAATTATGTGTGTTATGAACACAGGTATATAAAAAACAAGTTTTCTCAATATAAATCTATTAAACAATCGAAAATCTAAGCTAGAATACTAGAGAATGATATATTCAGATTATAAGGTATGTGAGGATTTTGAATTAGTTTCAATTGTTAAATTTTCTTTATGAACCTACATCATTTAGAGAAACCGTTGAAAACCAGGGAGTACTGGACAGCTGTTTCGTCATATCCTAGGTCTCCTCATCACCGCACACTCATGACCGTACAAGGGATCAGCCAGGAATCTTCATGTAACGAGACAGAGCTCGGGGGCCATTCGGCCAATTGGCCTGGAACTCAGTGACCCCTGAATTCTAATTTTACAAATTCATGATATACCATTGCCCTTTCAGTGCCTTCGATGAGGATTCACTTCATCTTGACATAATGACCCCACTGGTCACGACTTCCCACTGAAGCTTCAGGAAATCCATCCACCAGCGATCAAGGAGTTGGTGATGACAGAGTTGGAATTCAGAGGTTATTGAATTCTAGCCCATGCTTGTATGTGGTGAACGAGCTCGGTCTCGTAACCTGAAGGTCCCGGGTTCGATCCCTGGCAGGGTTGTGGGTGTGTACCGGTGGGGACAAAACAATTTCCAGTGTCCTCTGGTTTACCATTATCTCTCTAATTAATGTTGGTTTACAATGAGAATCTAACAATTGAGAATGATATATGTTGATCGTTTTTTACCTCGTTTGAAAGATTCTATTTGTTGCTAAGTTTATAGTTCGATTTTTGGCTTTATTTTGTTCACTTTATCCGTTTGTATTATTTTGTTCTGGTAAAGTGTATAAAGGAAAGTTCTGAACGATCCTATTTATAGTTTCAGTTAGACAGACATGTCAAAAACACTAAGGTTGTTGTATATGCTGGTGGGATTTTTAAACAGTGTTTTTTCATCTCAGAAATGGCTACAGCTGTTTGTCTCAATTATTGACACTGTATACTTTCCTTCGCCATTAAAATATTTCTTATTCACCATTTTTCCATTGTGATCTTGTTATGAAACATTGTAACTAACTTAAGTGAATGGTTAACAACATCTAATAACTGAAAACACTCAAATGATGAAAAGACGATAATATAAATCTCGGTATGAATGTAGCGCTTTAACTCTTCGTACTTCGATCATGAAAATTTAGTAGAGTGCATGCGCTGTTAACCTTTTTTTATACAGCGTAAATACAATCTGTTTCTAGTCAAAATAACTTCTAACGTTTAAGGTATATTGTTGCTTTTTTGTTCTCTACGTCTCTGGTGGGACATAGGTTTTCAAGCTAGAGCTTTCAAGTTTCTGTAGCAGTGGTTTTATTTTTACAGGATGGATTGCTAGCGTCATGCCCAACCTTCCAGCCAGGGTGAAGTAAAGAACTGCGTCGACCGAGAGTCGGACCCCGAACCAATGAGGCGTGGTTGGCGAGCATTCTACCGCTGTGCCACTGACGCTAAGTATATTGCACAACAGTTAAAATAAGACTGTCAAGAGAAAAATGTTTCCATTCTAACACTGAATTGGAACTTTTCAACTCTGTGACAATCATAAAGTCATCTTCACATAATGATATTTTTACAAGCTTTATATAGTGTACATAGGAGACATTTTTCGCAATTAAATAATCTAATTTATGTTAAACACTTAAAACAATTAGTGAAAAATAGGTTTTTTTATATTTTTCATTTCAGCTTGATTACACACTGTATTTTTGGTACAAGTATGGAATTTTCAGCATGGATATCGGTGGCCCAAATTTTGCAGGTCGACCATAGATATCGGGTGTGCGTCGGCAGGGGATCGAACTCGGACCATGTGCATGGTTGGTGAGAGTCCTAACCACTGTGTCACCGACGCACAGGTTGTCATTTTAGATTAGTTGAACTGAAGTGTCGATCAGTAAAGCATACATCTCTACCTCTCTCTGTAAAAATATTATGCCATTAAACTTGAATGATAACTTACTGTGATTATTATTATCATCCCTTTGGGTTTCCAGTGACATATGCTTCAGCAACAAATAAATTTTATTCTGTTTTCTGTAGTCTATCTAGTTGGCTCCATGACTGCCGATAAACCTTTCATCTCCTCCTCGCACGATCTCTTTTGCATCCCTCTTAGACGTCTAATTCAACGTTTCTCATTCAGGTTCTACTCGAGGGTATGTTTGGCTTGTGATGCCACTGAACGGTTTCTACAGTGTATGTCCAGTCTATGTTCACTTTCTTTCGCATATTTTTTGGGCAATAGGTTGTCAGCTGTTTTGCTGCCTGTTAAAGATTCTTTACTGGTTATCCTTTCTGGTTGACCATCTGTTCTTCACTATCAAGTCAGAGAAAGTAGGTGCTGACGAAAATGTCTATCAGCTGTTGGAAGTACTTTCCATGACACGACTAACCAAGTCTTTGAACTACAAAAAGCGCTTACTTAGCATTAATGTTGCAAATCCTTGAAAATTCTTCCTTGTGCTAGGTGCAGTGGATTTCCACACTAACTTCAAAATAATGACGGTCCATTTTGCTTTTCACATCATGGCTTTGATATTATCCTCATCTGTGTCGCCTGTGACATTTAAGTCAGAAGTTGGATTACTTATTCAGCTGACGAGTTCCACCGAAATTCGATGAATCCATTAAATCCTGCTTTATTAACCTTAGTTACTTGTTTTATTCAAAACCACTACAAATTATAATATGATCAAGGAAAATCTACTTTCTTTAATTTTTTTCTCATACTTGTACATTTGTGTAAGCTTTTATTCACTTATTTGTAATACTTTTCATTATTATTTTTATTTATATGTCATATTTTAGCTTAATTGGGGTTTTATTTCTTTCAATCTTCTATTCCTTGTAGAATAACTGTATTGATAAAATACAATTAGTAGATGATTTAAAGTCAATATCATCACCAGTATACTCTTCGCCGTCATCATCTTCAATAACATCAATACCGGGAACAATGAGTACACATATACCCTTTAAAAAATCTGATACAGTAATAGAAGATGAACAAGGTAATTTTATTCATGATAGTTGTAAAATGTTTTAAATATTTTAAAGTGCATATTTATGCAAAAATAATAATTTAAATTAAATGATCTCTTGTCATTTCCTATATGTATATATATATATACTGTGATTTCTATGTTGCTTTGATTTTTCTAAATTCTTTTGCTTTCTCAGTGGGAAATAAGGCTTCAAGTCTTGAAGTTTCAGTGACAAGTGATGCATAGTACAGGGTTATCAGACTCATGCTCAACCTCCACTTCTTCTCAAGCTTTCTAGCGGTTTGTCGAAGTTTAGGAATGTGTCGGCAGGGAATCAAAACCGGACCAATTTAGTGGCCGGCCAGCATACTTGCTTTCCCGCGGTGGAACACCTGTAGTGTAATGACGATTTAGCCTACGTTTTAAAAACACTGCAAAGGTACACACTGTGAGTTTGTCGCCTATGCACATATATTACTACAAATATAAATTTTTAATGAACGATGCCATGATTTATTAATTAGAGGATAATGTATTGAAGGATTGGCTATCTGGGAACTAGCTGATTAGTTAAGTAAACTGGATATGAAAATCGTCCGAATTTGATTGATTTTTGTGATGACCGCAAAAAGTAACTAACACTCATCTTCGCCTTAAAAATCCCAAATAACTTTCTGGAAACTGTTGTTTCAGGTGTAAAATTACACAGAAAATATTTAGATACAATGTTGCATTGGTTTTAGCATTTGTTTGTTGAATTCTCTCCATTGTCATTCGTTAATTTAAGTTTTGGTACTAAGCATTAGGATCTAGTCGTTGGAAGTCCCTGAACTTATGTTTTATGCTTATTTTGAAAACTTTACTCCACAAAATTCAAGGAAACTAATGCTCTTCCTCAAATTTTAATCCCAACTATCTGATTCCAAAGTCAGTGGCTTTATAAGTAAAAAGTTCAAACCACAGTCTCCTGTACACCTACAATCCAAATAACTCTATTTAAGCTCTGTCTGTTGCATATTCGAGTTTTAAAGGAAACATCATCCTCCATGAGATCGTGATTGCGCTTCACTGACGAATAACTCCCGGTGTCTAGCACCGAACGAAGTATACTTCATGGTAGTGTTGTGTCAGTTAGAGTAGTAACTTCATTGTACACCGAATCGGTGGATTTTAATCAGCAAACTTAAAAACAGGCATAAACATCAGTTTCCATTTGGTGACTCGTTTATTTAAACAAATTGATTGCTTTACAAGGAGTAATATTCTCATTAAAATGTTACCTCTTGGTTAGTGGAATACTCGTCGACCACGCATGTGGCCCGGGGTTCGATTCTCGAGCGACGTAATTCTTTATCTCACTAAGCCAGTAATAAGACTGGTAAAGAGGGAAGGTTGGGCATCGGGCTAGCAATCCCGTAAAAATAGACACCTCCACTACCGAACCTTGAAAGCTCTAGTTTGAATCTCGACGTTCCACTGGGAATGAACAGGAATAAGAGAAAATATTTTCAGAAATTATGATTATTATAAGCCGAAAGTAGTGTGGTGGAAGGATAGACTGAATGGATACCATAATATATTTTTCACTTACTTCTAAATGTGCGACCGTCAACTGTGCCTTGAGTTGAATCTGAAGTCAAAGCTAAACTGAAGTGGTTGTTTTCTGCAGCCGAACAGTGCCCGTATTCGTAGTGAAGGCTACCTCAGTGGTTTCTAATGCCTGATCTAGCGTTCAGAGTTTTCGGCTGTCACTCAGGCTGCCCGGGTTCAACTCCTGGTGCGGTAATGCGTTTTATGGGGAGCGAGAGGACGGGTGTTAGCTGGACTGACAAGAAGACACTGGAAGATATGGACTTCACTGATGATTTATGTTTAGTGAAAATCAATAAGTCTGAAGGAGAAGCTACGAAGACAGGACTTCAGGTGAACACTGAGAAGTAGTTGGTTCGGACATACACTGAGAGAGACCATTGAATGAAGTCACGCTCCAGGTATTCAAGTGGAACACGGATGGGAAACGATAAATTTGGCGTGGGTCCTTGGATCACATGGTTGAGATCATGTGAGAAGGAGATGCAAGCATGTAGTCAGTCGTATAGCCAACCAAATAGGACCGTAGAGAACAGGATGAAATGGAGGTGTGATGTTCCACTCGGAACCCAAGTGAATAATAATAATAATGGTAGCAAACTGAGGTGGTTATCCCATTTTGTCCCTATTCGTCTATAAACAAGACGAGGAGATTATTACACTTAGCAAAACTACTCATATTTTGCATATAAAATGGCGCAAGTCTGTTAATCAGCAACTGCGATAATTATATCATCCATTGTCTGCTTTTCCCCGCACCAAAACATTACTTATAAGTACTGTTAGATAGATTTCAACAGCTGAAAAAAATATATCTCTGATAATCATAACCGTGTTCATTGTGAAACCGAAAATTTGTATATAGTGGTTCACTATTATTTTTCCGTAAAATACTTGATACGGTTCTCACACTGTGTCATGTGCCGCTGATACGATTCATCAGTAGTATATAAAGAGATGTTCATCGGAGGGATAGATTGGACGTCAAAGAGAGCAGATGATTCAGTGTTGCGACAAATAATGGGAGGTAGATACGAAAAGAAGACAAAGAAGCACAATACAAAGGAAGGGCAGAAGTAGCACAATACGGAAGTTCTGTGCAAATGAAGATTTGCAGATAAGGTGTACATAATTTCTCTATACAGAGATATCGAATTGCCAATAAATATTTCTTTAACAAGTCTCCTGTCTTCTACTGTTACAAACGATAACAAAACATATATACAAATATCAAAGTATAGTTGAAATTGCATTCTTATGCTTTTTTATGTGTGAAAGCAACAATGAAACATCACATTATTTAGTTATTCATTTATTTTCATTGTTTTATAACTATGTTTTTTCAAGTATTGCTTTTTATAGGGATTTTGTTTGATTGCATGGAGGATTTAATCATGAGCTGACATCAATTAGAGAACCACTGGAAAACCTGGGAGTACTAGAAAGCTGTTTCGTCCTAGTTTGGGACTCCTCAGCAGTACGCACCCACCGGGGTTCGAACCCAGGACCTTCTGGTTACAAGGCCAGTGAGCTCGTAGACCATTGAGCCACTGGGACCCGATCCAATGGTTCTTGAATTCTAACTTCTGCCAGTTCACGACATGCAGTCCTCCATGCAATCAAACAAAATCCCTATAAAACCAATACTTGAAAATTCATCTGATGCTCACTAGCGACTGGCCCTATTCAGGCAGTTAACCTGGGGTTCTAGTGGGAAGGCGTGACCAGTAGGGTACAGCAGGTTCAAGATGAGGCAGTAACTCATCGAAGAAGAAGACATTGAGAAGTGGTCGCGCTATGTCGTGAACTGGCAGAAGTTAGAATTCAAGAACCATTGGATCGGGTCCCAGTGGCTCAATGGTCTACGAGCTCACTGGCCTTGTAACCGGAAGGTCCTGGGTTCGAACCCCGGTGGGTGCGTACTGCTGAGGAGTCCCAAACTAGGACGAAACAGCTTTCTAGTACTCCCAGGTTTTCCAGTGTTTCTCTAACTGATGTCAGCTCATGATTAAATCCTCCATGCAATTATAACTATGTTAACAATGAAATCTTTGATCCTTACTATTCATACTAATGTTGTTTCGTTGATATATAATAAATAATAAAGGCGAACCCGTTCATCACCAGATAACTCTTAGACTTCCTTTTCAAAGCTGCTACTTCTGCTGCTTATTTTGCATTATTCTCAATAAGGTGATTTCTTTGTTTTCTGAATGTGTAATTCTTATCACATAATGTAGGCTTAGTACCTCTGTAAAATTGAAATATTCACTAGATAAAACTTGGAAAAATATCTATACTCTTGCCTTCATCTGTGCTATATAAATGTTTCAATATGTCTGTTCAGTTTTTTTGTTTAGTAACAGAGCAAAAAAGTTTCTTGTACAAGCATTCTATCAAGAATGTTTGATCGATTATTTCTGAAATGTATGTTCAAGTTTAGCTGACTAAATTAAGCAGTGGAATTCATATCAGAATACTTTCTTTTTATTATTTTACTCCTTTGCGTTCCCAGTGGAATATTGGGCTTCAATCTAGAGGTTTGGAGTTTCACTAGTAGTGGTGTGTCTTTTTACGTGGTGTGGTTGTCAGTCTCAGGTCCAACCTTCCCTCTTTACCGGAGTTCATACCAACTAAGTGAGGTTTAGGAGAGCGTCGGCTGGTGGTCGAACCCCAGACTATACGAATGAACCACCGACGCATGGTAGGAAGTACCTTATCAATGATACCTTATGAATTAATTCCAATTCCCGATATAGGTACTACTATCTCTGTCTGCTGAGTAGAATGAAATTTAATGCCATCTCGAGGTTATGAAATTCATTTGGAGTCAAGTCTCTAGAATCAATAAAAATCTTAACAATTGTTAGTGTTTAAAATGTTCACTAATAAATAGCGAGATACAGGGAGTTATTATAAGCCGGAATAATGGTATGTCGATTGTCATTTCAACTTATTGGCGTCAACACTGTATCTAATTTCATCCGGTTACTAATAAATATACAAAATGTCAATTTTCAATCATTTACAAATGAGACAGTCTGATGAAACTTACGACCTATTGACAGACTGCATCATTTGAAGAAATAATTGTTAACTTTTATCCCAAATTTAACTTTATTTAGTCAGTAGTGTCTAATTAAGACCCCTGTAGAGATATGGCTTTTAGCTAAGGTGCTCGTCTTAGATTCTAACCCGTCTCCACCTACTTCAACCTGAGAAAGTGGGTAGTGTCACTAGCTTATAGCCGTGGTACATGGCACATTTGCCTTCAAAACGCTGAATTATAACTATTTAATACCTTTACTCAGTTGACAGACATTAATACTTATCCGATTAAAGTTTATAGATTCGACTTAAGGCTTTTTTATCACTTATTAGCAAAGTGTATCTAATATCTAAAAGAAAATCATTTAGTAAAGTTGATCAACTGCTGCATATAATACTACAAGTATATGCTTAATGTAACTCAGACGTTTATGTTGAAAAATCTAGATAAACTGCCTTGAAATTTAATTTATATCTTCAATAGAACTAATCAGATTACTAAAGAAAAGTTCATTCCTCATCTTCTGTGCAAACACGCACCTAGGCTGATTTACTGATAACTGACTTCACACAACTCATTTATACATTTACTCATTTGTACACTTTTTTATGGTCTTATAAGTGACCTGCCAAACAGACTGATATATCATACTCAATATTTCTACTTTGGAATTAATTGTAAATACAATTTCAACTTTATCTTTTTCACATGTGTATCATTGTAGAAATGATAACTGACTTAAACGAAAAGATTAAACAAAACATAAAGTGGTAACGTTTCGTTTTCATTACCATTACAAATAACGATAAAAAGAAATAACAGTTAATTCTAGTGAAGAGAAAGATTTACAGTTATTTTATATTCATACATTTGGTTCCCTTGATAAATTTCGATAAAGAAAGGAAGACGAAATTTGCAGTATAAAATGATATCATTCTATTTCACAGGTTCTCATCAGCTGCAGACTACCTGAAATTACAACGGTTATGTAGATGATGATAACATAATACCACCACTCAAACATTAAAGTGTGTTATTATCATTTATATAACCGTAGTAATTTCAGGTAGTCTGCAGCTGATGAGAACCTGTGAAATAGAATGATATTATTTTATATTCATTATGGGATTATGATCATTATTCTTTTGGTTTCTTATTGAAAAATAACTCTCCATTTCAGTCTGTTCTCTGCAGTCCTCTTTAGCCAGCTGCACAACTCACCGTAAGCTTTCATCTCCTACTCACACGATCTCCTCGACAATCAGTCTAGGAGAGATACCCAACTCGTTGTTTCCCATTCATGTTCCACTCGATGGCCGCCTTCAATGCATGTCCAATCCATCTTCATTTCCTTCTACATATTTGTCGGGTGGCAGGTTCTGAATTGGTTCCTTGTCATAGTTCTCTATTGTTGATCTTTTCTTATAACGTGATCCTCAGGATGCACCGGAAGGGATAGGTGTTGATGAAAGTTTGTTGAAAGTACTTTTGAGTCTCTGAATCACGTACAAGAACTGACTGATTTGACATTATTGATGAAGATCTAGATCTTGTTCTTTATACTGATTGCAGCAAATTTCCACACTGATTTCAGAGTAATAAACACCTTTGTTGTTTTGCTAATCTTGGTCGCCCTTGATATTAGACCACTTGGTCTTTGTTGCAACCCTGGTAACTGGATGTCTCTATTCTCTCTCTCTTTTATTTGATTACGTAATGTTTGGCTTTAACCTCACCTCTTTCATACAGTGTAATTTTGCTCGTCTCTTGTTTCGATGATTTAAGTTGAACTCAGTACATTGTTACGTAATTTATAAGTCACTCAGCATCTTACGCATCTCTCGTCTTCCAATTACTTAGCTCCTTTACCATTGTATGCATACATTTACTTTGTCTAAACTTGAACTGTCTGTGTAAAAACTGTATATGCTCAATTTTCTGGGCAGTGTTCACTAATTGCGGAACCTCTTGTCAACTGACATCGTGGAAAATTTGCAAGCTGTAAGCAGCTGATGAGAGGCTAACGAATTGAATGATGGTACCATGTTATTCTGCACAAACCTCTGTTGTTCTTTTCTTACTCATATCCTGACTTGGAAGGTGACGTTCAGCCTTTCCGTTGTGAATCCCATAATATGAGGCATCACTATCCAACATGGTACCTAACAGAAGCTATTTTACACTTTATTATCGGTTTTACAAAAATTAATATTGATATTTTTATGGGGAACACTCCTCCTAGAAAATGGTTTTTACAATATTTACAAAGCTTATTTTGTAGAAAGAATAAGAGAGTCAAAAATATCCTTGCAGTGTATTTACTGTTATGCCCATTAACTGATTTGTATCTAAAGACATATTATTTTAAAAAGAATAAGGTTATTACATACAAACTATAGTATAACTGAGTGAATTCTAAGGCTTAATTATTCAATATCAAGTGGCACTTCTAAGTTCTCTCAATACTGATTCTTTTTCTTAATAAAAGAATTAAATTTCTATAACTTTCAACCGCGGTGACAAGTATATACATAATATATATATATATATATATATATATATATATATATATAGGTCATAATAAAACAAATATTTGAAACGGTAGTTTTTATGAATTGATATGCCAGTCATGTCGCGTTGTCTCTTTTCATCTCAACTTAGTTCTGGAGGTTACATATCTCAGCATCTTGAGAATTATTGATTATCTCTTATTGATTTTATTCCTTTGCGTTTCCAATAGAACATAGGACTTCAAGCTTGAGTTTTGAAGTTTCACTAGTGGTGGTGTTTAATTTCTACAGGTTGAGGTTGCTAGCCTCACATCCAGCTTTTCCTGTTTAGGAGTGCGTCGGTCGGGAATCGAATCCTGAACCACATGTGTAGTTGGCGAGTATTCTACCACTGAATCGCCAACATCTACATCTGAAATCTGGGATGTAAATCTAAAAAAGAAATAGATATAAGCCGAAATAAGTTGTAAGTCAGTGTTGAGTGATGATGATAAAGCATACCCCTAAGTATGTCATTTTCAGTGAACTATTAGTCATGATAATTTGTGGCAGTAAATGTTGCTTGATATAGTCATTCATATCTGAAGCTGCAGTCTGCACAGTTAAACGTATAAAGTTCCATGGTCATGATTTTATCATAGTATATATCATTAAAACTGGTTCGTTTTGGGGATATGCTTCGGCATCGCTAGTCAGTGTCTATTGAAGTATTGAAGTCTTTTGAATATTGATTTACAGCTCATTTTCTGAATATCCTTCTTCTAACTCGAAATATTACACTTTACAGTTGCTAGATTTTCGTCATGAACCAACATCAGTTAAAGAGAGATCATTGAAAATCGGAGAAAACTGGACAGCTGTTTCGTCGTTTCCTGGAACTCTTCACGACTGTTCCCCTGAGACCACCTTCAGCCTACTAGAGCAAGCTGGTTTTCAGCGGTCTCTAGAAGTGATACTGGTTAGTGACGAAAATTCAAAAAGCTGTAATTAATCCAAAATCTCCACATATATACTACAATCTGAATATTAAACTTTTTGCGTGTTTTATTTTCATAATTAAGTTTTTTTTTCTCTTTTTCAAACAGACCTTTCCTCTTCAAATACAACATCTCTGAGGCGAACAGTTTCTGTGCATACAACTACAAATGATGAACACTGTAATGCATCTCAATCAAATACATTTTCATTTCATAGAAGTCAGTCTTGTTCACTGGATATGAAAGAAGAGTATAAATTTGCTGAAGATGAAAATGCTAACATGAAATATGATTTTTCAAATGATAAAAGATCATCACTACAGTTGAATTTTGAACAAAAAAATGGTATACCCTGTGAATTCTCTTTTCCTTTATCAAATGATGATAATAATAATGATAATAGTAATAAAACGCAAAAGAAATCAGAAACAATGGATACAAGTCTTCGAACAAGTGATGGTTTATATAAATGTCGTATTTGTAAAAGATTATTTGCTAATCGTTATTCCTTAACAGGACATTATAAGTCGCATTATGAACCAAGTCAAAAACCCTATTGTTGTGATGATTGTGGACAACGTTACACCTCACCGAGTAATCTTCACTATCATCGTGGTCGTAATTGTCCAGTATTAAAGTTAAAAGCTATTCGTGAAGGGAAACTAATTCCACTAGTGTACATAATACTAAATTACTTGAACTGAAAGCATTAAGAGCTGTTGAAAGAAAATCTTTAATGAATAAGTTAAAAGATCAGAATGACTCGAACAATAATAATGAAATTAAAGATACTACGTGTGACTCTAATCGTCATCATCCACCAGCACATAAAAAATCACGTTTCAACGATAACAAAGCTAAAACTCATTTAACTACTTCAAAAACTAATAGTAGTATAGAATGTTTAGATGGAAATTTTATCTTACAAAATCGACAAAAGTTAAAATCCTGTGATACATCTCACTCATTCAATACTGGTACTATTACTACTAATAGTAGCAATAGTAGTTCTGCAAATACTGTCGTCAATACTACTGTTGATAGTAATGTTAATAATGCTAATGAGAACAGTACAATACAAAACAATGAGGATGGTTTACAAATACAGGAGATATTACGATTATTTCTTATGCATGCTTATCAGTCGGATGAATTACGACAGCAGTTAGTATCACTGACATCATCTGCGCTGCTTAATGCTTTAGTACCAACGAATGGATTTCATCAATCAAGTATGCTGTCTAACCAAACCTGCACATCAAGTCAACAATTGTTCAACCTTTTGTCCAGTGTTATCAACTCTAGTAATTCTATAGAAAGGAATTCTATGAGTAGTGTTAATAACACTAGTAATCATAGTCAGAGTAACACTACTGATGATGATATGTATACACAAAATAATTCAACAGTTGGAAGAGTTTTAAGTCAACCAGGTAATTCCTCACCACTGACAGAAGAACCAACAGATCTTACAAGTAGATCAAGTAGATGTGTTCAACATAAGGATCAAGGCGTAAACAATGCATGTGGCATACATTGTTCCATGTGTTGTCATGATTCAATTATCTTCCCAGATTATCAAGCATTAAATAAACATATGTTTTTAGTACATGGTAAATATCCAAGATCTTCAACAGGGACACAGGGACACCACCACCAATGCCATCAGTAAGTACACCTACTTCAACGACATCATTTCTACGATGTCATTCAATGAATGAATCCTTACCATCAAATACTGATTGGAACATGAGAACTAATAGTTCCTCGTCTACTAATAATTCAGATACATTAATCCAACAATTACACAGGTATCAACAAGAGAATAATTATAGTACTTCTGATAATATTGATAGTAATAACACTGACCAATTGTCATCTTCACCATCAATAATTCACAGTGGAATAGTAAACCTGCTAATTTAGTCTCTTGTACAGATTGTGATCGTGAATTTTCAACATATACTGCTTTTCGTGTACATCATACAAAATCACATCAACAGTCTTCTAGTAGACACCATCAACAACAACTACAAGAGGCTCATCATCAATCACAATATACTAGATCACGATTACGATTAACTGATCAAAGTGTACCAACATCACTATCGAATCAATGTGATGTAACCTATGTGAGTGATGATAATGACAGTGAGTAATACCCTATGAATCAATCAATGACTAGTATTCAAGTGAATAACTATACGCATATAAATTAACACGTCTTTACAAGGTGATTGATTGTCTAACAAATAATGAATAAATCAATTTTGTATTTAAATAAATTATGAACTTTGATACACATAAATATATTCCTTACGTGTAATAGTGTATATTTGCACTGAATTAAGTTTAAAAAAAAAGAAAAAACTATAGTTTTCCAAGTTAACTGTTGATATTTCAAGTGTTCTTTTCGACAACAACCAAAAAAAAACACCACTTTGTTATGTATGTGTTAACTAGTGTGTTGATCATCATTGTACACAATGAATGAAAATATTGAACACATTTAACGGAATTCAATGTATAGGATATTTTCAAAACAAAAATAAATAAATAAATCCATTAATTAGTCTTTGTTGCCAAAATCTTTATTTATACAATGTTAGTTGTTTGTTTTTCTCTTTTTTTTCTTTTTTTGTTGGTTTTATCGACTTGTTATCTTGCTAGAGAATATGACTCATATCTTTCGGTTGGCCTTTTATATAAAACTTCTTTCAACAACTCATTGTTGCCATTAGGGATGTTATCCCATTGTGTTATCTGTTAGAATTAGCGTAGAACACTCTGATCTCTTAAAAGAGTGTCTCTCTAGTCTGATTTGGATATATGCCGTGCTATTTATATATACATATGTGTATATCGGTGTTAGAGACTAGTGGAATATTATTGCATAATGATGAATGAAGACTGACTGGGTTTTTGCATACACTTATCCCTCTTCTACCTGTTCTCCTTCTTCCTTGTCTTCTTTTTCTTGTTTTATCCCATTTATTATTCAAATATTACTACTATTTTTAAAAATTTATTATTTCTAGTTAAGGTTATTTATTATGCATATATATACATATATTCGTTTTTTCTACTCGGTTATTTTTCACAATCATTTGTTAATAATAACAAGTGAATAAATAAATTATTCTCTACTTTTTTGAATAATTCACTAATTCAATCAGTATTGAATATGATAGTGTCATTCGATTTTCACCCAATCATATTATTATTATTATCATTATATCCTTGAATTCCTAGAGGAACATAGGGCTTCAGCTGCGCGTCTCCATTGCCCTCGGTTTTCTGCCAACTTTTTCACCCCACTCCAAGTGTGCCCACATGCTTTCATTCCTCTTCACATGACCTCCTCCAAGTCACCCTTGCACTGACGACCAACTCGCCGCCCGCTTCCCTTTAAGGTTCCACTCAAGCAATGGCTTGTCTAGTGATGTCACTTGATGGTTTCCTCAGAGTATGGCCAACCAATCCATCTCCATTTCTTTCTGCCTATTTGTTTCACAATCGGTTCCTGCTGAGTTGGTTCCCTCATTGCCAGAGATCCCTCCCTGTTGTTGATCTTTTCTGGCCGACCATCTGATCTTGAGTATTGAGTGAAGACAACTGTTAATGAAGGTTTGAAGTTTGTTTGAGATGCTCTTTATGACGCGCAGTGCAAGTTTCTGATCCAACGTATAGTAGCACTGACTTCACATTGGAGTTGAAAATCCGGATTTTATTTTTGATGCTGAGTGTTGTTGACTCCCACACAGACTTAAGAGTGATGAAAGCTTGTCTTGCTTTTCCGATTCTGGCTTAAATATCCCAATCATATTACAAGAATTAATTAACCGTTGATTGGACACTAGTATTACTAGTGGGATATGTCTAATCCTTTGTTTGGTGCAGACTGGTTTCTGTCTGTCAGGTTTGCAGTGTGGCCACCATGCCACTAGATAGCTCGTCATTATGGTGCACTTCGGATCGGCAGGAAGTCCAGTCTGACTTGGGTTCATGCTAGTTGGCATTCGTATATCTAGAAAAACACAGAATCAAGAGTCAGTAAGAACAGTCTTCTAGACTGATGTAGATGACATAATTATCTCGGCGGGGTTTGGTTCGTCAATTTCATTTTATCAAACTAACCTAATGTTTATATCTGCCCTGTCTACTTCCACCTTGGCCACTGGTTTGCGTCATAGTCACACAACCCCCCCCTCTCCAAAACCTCTAGTACAGACCAGTAAAACATGGTACACATACACCGTATTCCTTTTTCTAAAGATTTAGGCATTTCTTTCTGCCTCTGAAAAAACATAACTGCAAAGTTTAACAGATTTCTCAATTCATTAATGACAGAACACCAAGTTACTCAATGTTCCAGTGGAAGTCTTCACTACTATGATTGGATAATAAGTAGTAACTAGTGTCTTGCGTATAGTCCTTCGTTTGGATCAGACTGAATTCTGTCTGTCACTATGTTAGGTGGCTGGCATCAAACGAATGACTAGACGCAACACATTAGCTATCACTTAGTGTTCGGTCAAAGTATGTATTACAGTCCTAAATGAAGTAGATACCAAGGGGAATAGCTTAGTGGCAACCTCTTTGAACTGCAGCACTTTGTGATCCGAGTTTGAATCTAGGAAGGTAGATGAGTTCTTCGAAGATTGTAGATTCGCCTTGTCGACGATTTCCGACAGATATGAAATCTAGGCTAAAGACTTCCTGCCGGTTGCTTACATCGATCTAACTGCACTACTAATACCCAACAGATAAATGCTACTCGCTACTACAGAATTAGGCTGTGATTCCGCACCAGCGGTTTGACAACAATCTACACAGTGATCATGTCATAAAAGGTGATTGAAATGAATCAATTAAATTAAGTAATGATTTATTGTTTTCACAGTAGTAATAATAACAGTTTTATCCTGGGCAAAATGTTTACTCACTGTACAGAATTCCTAGAGTAATTTACTGCATAAAATCTTCTCTTCGTCCAGGATCTTGAAATAAAATAGCAATGTAAGCCATATCACACATAACGTAATGCCATTCGTCTGCAGCATAAACCAATCTCATGATATTTTTTCCCTGTCTATCAGAGATGCGTACTGATAGGGTAAAAACTGATTAAAAATGTACTGGCGTACATTTTTCGACCCAAAAGCATAACTGAATGATTAAAACGATAGGAATGAGAGAAAATTTTATGCATTATGCTGTATGGAAATTCAGGCAACCCGGTGATTCAAACAGGCAGCCAGGTAATGGGTGCTTCTTTCAACTGCTTACTGTTTCATTTGTTATCAAAATAATTCATTTTTCTTTCAAAAATAATGTGTAAGGCGATTACTCACTTAAAATTCAACGATGGTACGGCGGTTAGGACTCTCGCCAATCACGCATTTAGTCCGGAGTTCGATCCCCTGCCGACGCACACCTGATATCTATGGTCGACCTGGAAAAATCTGGGCTACCGATATCACGTGCTGAAAGTTCCATGTCTGTACGAAAAATATGGTGTGGAATCAAGCTGTAATCAAAAATAAAAAAATAAACAAAAGACAAAGAAGCACAAACTACTCCTGAAAGATAACGGCCAAGATCGTTTGCAAATTGTAGAATGAATGAATGCAGGACCTATAACTTCGTTAATATCCACTGTAATTTGTCTTATAATAAGACATATAAGTAGGATACACTACCAGTATTTATTAAGCAGAATATATAATTTTAATTGGACCACACAGCAACACTGTTTCAAAAGACAAAACTGAATACAAAGTTCTTCATTAATCTTTCCGTATATTATATTCATCTTCTTTTGATGACTGAATTCAGAAAGCATCAACAAAGAGTAGACACGTAACCCTGGCTACTCACAAGTAACCAATCAGCACAACCACTACAATTCCCTTTGAGGTCAATCACAAGCCCGTATATCTTCCTCCGTAGTAAAATTCCTGACTGAAGAATTGGGTGATGGGACTTCGAATCTCCGAATGAAATAATATATATGTCTTGCTGATGAGTATGTAGTGGCAAATAATTCCTCAAGATTATTGGCCCACAGCTTTCATCATCCAACACTTGTTGATCATCATTCGGCTGGTTAATCTGAAGGTACACATTCAAATTACCACACCATTTGGCAGCACTTCCTCTTCAGATCGGTTGTTGGTGCATTCAATCGAGCCAGCTGTGCATACATCCATCGCTGAACATTTTTGACTTCGAAATATATTTCATATTTTGGACAATCACTTTTGTTTGTTTCCCTTTGGCTATCGAAAATCTGCCTAGTCTAAATTGGACTACTACATGAGAATTGGAGAATATACAACTACATTTGCATATTAAAGTATCTTACGTACCTGTCGATACCCTCCATCCTCTAAAAGTTCCAATAAGCACAAAACCTCGGCCTACGGCCTTCTATTGATTATCCTCAACTACGTGACACGACAGTGGGTCTCCTACTTCAGTGATTACGCTGTATTCATAGTAGCGAATTGCCCTTACATATAATTAATTATACTGAGAGGACAAAAAGAACATGTGTAACTGTGTTGATTTGCAAATATTCTTACATTCACATATTTAGTATATTAATGATACTGATAACATAAGAGTAACTGGAAAATGCTTCGTACATGGCAGAGAACTCTCGGCATGCTGTACTGGAAAATGTCAACTCCTTGTGTAGGATCTCCAAGCAAATTAATAGTCGGTTATATATATCACCTTAAGGAATATTGTGCTATCTAAAGCACTCTCTAATAACCCCTCAGTGTTTTCCCTCCACTTCCTTGCAAAAGTCCATAGTATTAGATTGAAACTTATTTGAAAATGGATGCGAGTACAGATTACAATCCAAAGATGTAATTGGATACATAAAATAAACATGAAATGGAGTCAACTTGGTAACTCAGTGAGTTAAACAGGTCGAAAGAGACTGAGACTTATTAAATGTAAGTGTTTGTTTGCATCATTCTAATCTAAATCAGACTTTAACCTGATGGGTTTACTTGAAATGACTTTCGATTCCAGTGTTAATCAGTATGAGGCAACTAATAAGACAGTCAAGTAGTGAATGAGTATTATTGTAACAACCAAAATCGATTTGTTGCGGTCTGAACTCAAGGAACCTGTCTTTATATCC